TTCGAGGACGGAGCCGCAGCCACGCATAGTTAGTACCTTGTCGGACGATCCCGTAGCCAGCAGATACTCGTTTTTTGGGTTGAACGCCACACAGTTTACTTCTGCGGTGTGTGCATCCACGCTCGCTTGCGGCTTTTCTGATGATGGATTCCGCGTGTCCCAGCTGCCAAGTAGCGATTAGGACAACAAGATCCTATACCGGACGAAAACATGCAAGCGGCATATCTCCTACATCATAAGCTTTTTGTCGTCCCCAACTGAGGCAAATAGAGGTTCGCACAGCTCAGACCACGCCACATCCTGCCATAATATATCAGGATTGGTGTTAAACGTGCGAGCAATGAATTCGAATAGGTTACCTCAACCCAGGCCGTGTGTCCAGTGTACGTTCGCTTCGCCGTCATTGTCCGCTTCTCCTTCGTATATCCGGTGATATCCCACTCGCAGATGGTCGTGTCTTCAGACCCAGTGACAAGACGGCCTGCGAGGGTGGGATGCCAGGACATGCCATATCTGTATGCATACTAGGGGTTAGACAGATGACCGCTTCCCTCATGTCAGAATGCGAGTGCTGCATACCCTTCCTTGGTGTGGCCCTCCAATTTAATTTCTGGGTTGCAAACACCATCGGGGTTGGGATCGGAGGCGTGACGAGTTCGGTCAAAGATGTAGACTGGGCCCATAACCGTCCGCGTTGCGATAATGTTGGCATTTCCAGGCATGTATCGAGCTCTGCAGCAAGCGATTGAGTGAGTGAAGCAACCACTAGCGTCGTGTCCCTGCAATAGTGCTTTTACCGGTTGACTTCACCATCGTGATTGATCTTTTGAATAATGTTGATTTTGCATTCGGCGCCGCCGTATCCGCCAGTTTCTGCAATGAACCGCATGGGAAGCATGAGTGCACGCCATTGTCAATATCGCAATACGACCATCACAAAGTTCGTCCAGATACCTCCATCATCCAGCCTTGCACGGTCTGCATCGGTCGAACCGTTGGGAATCTGAACCCGTGCGATTTGCAAATAGTTTTGCTCTGAGTCGGAAGTGTGGGTTCCAATAAGCAATCGCTGGACAGTATAGTCTTTGCCTTCCGGTCTGTGGCCAATTGTAGTCAGCGAAGCTGTTGCAGCCGTGCAAACAACGATGCATTTGAGATTGCGCACCGTTCAATGTCGGGGAGCCACTGGGCGGTCAGTGTTGGCCACTCCAGCGCATGCGTTATGACGGTACTGCAATTCGAAAAATAAAACAAGGTGAGCGGGCGTGAGTCATAAGCAAAGCAAGATGCGTGCTCTCTTTGCGTACTCGTATAAGAATGGGCTGTTCTTCTTCCATATCTTGTACTCCTCGTTAATAACCTTTTCGTCAATGACCTGCTTTTCCTGCTCGGGGTCGATAGCTGGCAGCATGTCAGCACAGTTTTGCACGAGTAATCAAGCACCAAAGAGTATACCATGGCCAGAAGCGCTTGGTTGGGTCATGATTTGGCGGGCGGTCAGCGGGCAGCGAAATGACAGAGTTGGGTGGTGGTGCAAGATCTCTGGCGAAAACGGTTGGGGGAAGGACGCAGACGCACAAGGGGCGCAGCCCAGTGTCCGAACTCTCCGACACAGAAGGTCACAGATTGGAAGCCTCACATATCGAATCCACAGATATATCTTCGCAGGTCAGGGCAGTTGGGTCTTGTCAGCAGCTACTGCAGGGCAGCCAATTTATCAGCGAGCAGAGAATAATAGACGAATGAGACGACCAACGGAATCGCTGTTACGGAACTTACGACCACATCCATTCGATATACTTGATGAGTTGACAAAAATTTGTTGGCTGCTTATGAGCACGCTATACCACCTCTTGTCTATTGAAGGCGGAGCGGGTGCTCTCGGCGCACTTGCAAGTTGCTATGTGTTTACCAAGGGCGCTCGAAAATATATGTACTGTACACATATCAACGTGATTTATTGCAGGCAACATTTGGTCCACATATCGTTGTTCTAAGCTTTCAGCACACGCCCTGCTTAGGTGCACATGCATATGGATTGTCACTAGCCCGCCCGACTGAAAGCCAGGAGAGGCTCGAGACAATCCTTGCATACCTGCGGATTCGTCCTCACATCAGACACCCTCGGCCGAGGATCGCCAGAGTATGGAGATGATGGAAAGCATTCTTGCAATGATGGCAGCTGGATGGAATTTCCGGTGGATTGTTTGCTTTCGCACGGCGAGGCGCTGCTCAGCGGTTTTTTTCCAAAAGTTCGCAGGACCGCGCCGGCTCTGAGGAGGTGTGATTTGGTCCATGTCAGTCTGTACTTAGCATACCCCTGCGGACCATCTGTCAACGAAAAAGAAAACGAAATAGTCATAGGAAGACAAGAGTGGCAATACTATTAAGATGATTCGAAGAACAGTACGCCTCGATGTCTGTGAGCGGAAGGCCGCGACCCACTTGGTGGGCGGAAAAGAGGTGCGCTTCTCATTCATTCCGGCTCTAAGTTCCTTGTAGCAATTCAACTTTGGAAAAAGATCACAATAAATGTATTGATGTGCATACCAAGTGATTTTTGCTCGAGATTTACAATGACAATGGACAATAAAGGGAGGGAAGTGAACGAGATCCATCAACTGCTGTCCTTCCACCAGTTTGCCCCACCAGTTTCAACCGTCGCTAATTACCGTCAGCAATGCGAGCAATCAAGGTCAAAACGTCCTCGAAGCAGAAAGAGAAAGAAGAATATGTAGGCAAAAATTAATTAGTGTTTGGCAGCAGAGGTGTCAGGGATGAATATGGTGAAATGACACTAAAGCGTATCGGTGCGCCGGGTCTACACGGGCTGGCACGACCCATCTCCATCACCCCTTCCTGGTACTGGCCACTAGTTCAGGCTAGGCGCACAGACTAAAGCGCGGCCGGGCGGGATCCCGTGCCGGGAAAGTCCCATCATCCGTACGGTTTCCGTGCTGGCATACCGATACTAGAGTGCCTTGCACGCGCACGCTCCATTCCCTCAGGAGAAGTATGATTACTTACCGACTTCAAGCAGGATTTTTGACTTTTTACCGCCGATTATAATGTTTGCGCTTGTCGGTGAGGTGAGCGCTTGTTGGAGGGGTGCACGGGGGCCAACGCTCGACGCGTTCTTGACGGTCCGCAGGCTGTCGAAAAGTTTGATTCCTTTACAGGCAATAACCTGGCCCGGATGGCGTAATTGGAAAAACGTTTGAGCATCCTTTACATTTGTTTAGTATCTATCTGCATCTTCGGTATTTGCGAAACAGTCAAATCAATGTCACGGTCAGAACCTAGCGTCGAACCGCTTAATGTGGAAGAAATCGCTTGGTCCAGCGTGGAAAAGAAACGGGAACTCTACCCATTTGCTAAGGCTTTCCAAGATGCATGTGCATCGCCTAGCTGGTTTCTTGAGGTTCATATGTCTGCCATCTCGACAAACTCCGGAGCGGCCGAGCTTCACCAAATTTATATGCAGCACTGGCAGCGGCTGTTGGACGAAAGCGGCAAATGGCACAAGGACTTGAGTTCTGATCAAGGAGCGGAGATGAAATCTATCTTCAAATTTCGCGACAAGCTGCGGCACTGGCTGAAGGTTCGCACTGTTGGTCCTTGGTTTGTCAAGGCAAGAGCATGCTGAACGTGCTTGGGCGGTTAGGGTCAAACGCTTGCGCTTTTCGAAGTGGTGCATCGAGATGCAACCATGGCGTGGCGCATGGCCCATGCCGGCGAAAAGGTGGTAAATAGAGGACTGGCGCAGATTGGTTCCGGCGGTCCTAAAAGAAGTCCGGAAACTTTGGAGCTAGGCGTGGACGAAGTAGTGTGAGTGATTGTCAATGGTAGGGTAAGCCGGTACGCTGCTTAACATGGAAGCGCAGAGTTCCGGAGTTTCCCAAAAACCACGAAGAGGGCGGGGCGGGAAATGCCTTCATGAACAACCTCATGGAGCTGCTGCGACGGGCTGATGCGAGCGCGGAGGCTGCTACGCAGCTATTAGTGAAGGCCAACACCGAGTGGTGCGAGCGGCTGCTTGCAGAGAAGGACAAAACCGCAAGAGCCAGGGTACGTATGAAGCGCCTGTGCGCGCTTTTTCGGCACAAAGTAGCCACAGGTCAGTCATCTCACCTCTGATGCCCTATTGGCAGGAGAACTTTCTCAACCTGCGGCAAGCATACGAGTGCGAAATCGGCAGATTGTCAATTCGCACGAAGCTTGGTGCGGATCCAGTCTGTGCTGAGTGGCATATGCAAGGAAACTATGCTAAATGCGCAATGCCACTTTGTAGACCGAGTCGCGAGACGGATTGCCCACAGATTGAAAGCCAGTGGCTGGCGCGGAAACGAGGCCACGAGCAGCATCCTACGCGAGCTGAGAGAAGAAAGCGCTGCGGTTGAGCGAGGCCGGAGCAGCGCTTTATACACGGAGGTCACTGCTATTGACGACTGGTATGTTTGGTCTTGCCCGATTTGTCCATGTAAAGGAGCGGTGGGCGTGGGATTCCCTGGGAAAGTCGGTTCTAATGGTGTGAGTGGTGACACGCCTGCTGCAGGTGTTAGAGACATGGCTACGCCCACAACGAGATTTTCAACGTCATTGAGCACATATACGGCCGGCTCAGCGCCCACGCACATGCCATCCAAACCTACGTGCTCCACCCCGTCGCTTTCCCTGATCACCGAGAATTCCTGGTGATTCGGCTGCTTTTTGAGATTTTCGGCGAGCCATTCAAGGCAGTCAGTCCAGAAGACATTCTGAAAGGGGAGGGCGGCGAAAATGGACAAAGTGAGGAGGAAGAGGGAAACCCGAGCGGTATGGATGAGAGTGCCGCAGTGCGTAGAAAGCGGTCGGCGGAGGACACTTCGGAAGAACCCGCGCAAAAGTTGGCCCGGCCGGAGTAGATACAATTCACGGAGGGAGGGACTTGGAGAGGGGCGGCTGCTGCGTTGGCGGGCGAAAGGAAGCGTCGCGGTGAACACGCCGCGTCCGTTCAGTGATTGCCGGTGGCGCATCGGCAGCGCGCAGCTGAAAAGCAGCTGGGGTAGTGGGTTCGACTCCCATCTGGCTAATCACGGGGAGGAGAGTGTGGTTCGTGTGGGCAAGCGATTCGCCCCATGCGAGAGGCCGGAAATATAGGCTGCATGCCAGTGCATGGCCCGCGCAAGGTGTATGTGATCATCAAGTATTCTAGTAGGCTGCCATATATTAGTACAACGCTGTCGATTGGCAAGTCGATGCAGCATTGTGTGAGTCACAGCCGCTAAGCCCTCCGACAGCTCGCCGCATTTGAAATGCAAACGCAGCGAGAGCTTGCCCATGACCCATGACCGGTTGCCCTCGCCCGAGCAACCGTACCCTCGTCCAAAAGCAAGCATGTCCGCTCCTCCTCCACAGGTCGAGGATATTGAGCGTCCAGCAGCCGATGCAGCTGCAAGCGAGAGCACGCCGCTTTTGGCAGCGGACGGCGCCAGTGTCGTCGTGACAGCGACAAAGGCGCCCCGTTTGCTCTTCCTTGACCATGTTCGAGGGCTTCTGATGTGCTTGCAGTCAATCGATCGTTAGTATTCTAACTCTTTATGCTTAAATTCCATCACTCTAAGCGAATTTGACTGTGAGTCAATTAACCCATCCGCTGCTACTTCTCCAGACTCGCGGCTCTTCCTGTCCCGGATTGCGATCCAGCATGAGGAGTGGTGGAACATGCCTGATTTCGAGGGTTCACTGTACCACTGGTTCGTGCGGTTTCTGACCGCCTCTTGTGCTCCCGGCTTTTTCTTGACAATGGGCATGTCGATTGTCCTCTTCACATTGAGCCGGCAGCGGATGGAGTGGCATTGGCTGTCGATTCTGAAGCACTTTTTCATACGTGGAGGGGTTCTCGTGGGCTTCAACTTTTTCATGCGTAAGTTTTCTGTTCTGAGCTGCTCTCACGCCTGCTGCAACGTAAAATCTCAATACATTTGCCCTTTAATCTAGTACCGGCGAATATGCCTTTGGTCACAACCGTGTTGTTCAGTCTTGGGGTTGACTTATTTCTCGGGTCATGCTGTGTGCTTCTTGAAGGCGCGTCCACCAGAGCCTTGATTGCCCGTCTTACGGGTACCCGAACAGCGATCGAAGCCACGCGCCTAGGCACGTCCATCAGCATCGGATGCTACGTCGCTGCTGCCGCTATCATATCGCCGCTGGCGTCATGGTACACTCCCGGAAAAGCGCACGTGGACGACCATTACAATTGGTGGTTCCGCCTTGCGTTCTTGCCCCACAGGCCTATCGCCGCTGATCGTTTCCAGCTGTACTCCATGTATGCGCCTGTTCCGTGGATGCCATTTGTTTTGTGGGGCATCGCGCTGCAACGCATGTCAGCGCAGTTTAAGCTGCGTCCTAAACAGTCTGGGCTGCTGCATGCGGTACGGGGTGTTTTCGAGCGCTTCGTCTTGGCCGAGGTTCGTTTACGACGTATGCTGACTCTGTCACTCTATCGCGTTCCTCTCGACGATTAGGCTATCGGAACGGCCATGTGGATCGTTTTCATCCCGCTCCGGCTGCACGAAGGATTTGGCAATATCAACCCAGGCGAGCTTCACCCCTCTCCTCGGCACAGCTTCATTAACTTCTTCAATCTCACAAAGTATGTTATACGCGTGCATCTTCCGTTTCCTGAAGCTTTTACTTATGGGTTTCAACGGTGTTTTGATTGCAGGTACCCTCCAAGCGTGGCGTATACGTTGTGCACACTAGGCATCATCCACCTCGTCTGCGCGCTGTTCATTCTCATGGAAACAAAGTTAAAAGACTCACTATGGACATCGGAGCGGAACCCGCTTATTGTTTTTGGACGGTCTGCTTTCTTCTTCTGTAAGTTGCAAAGTTCTACGGCCTCTTGTTGTCGTGAAAGGGGGGCCTTCCTTTTTGTGTACTCACACCTGGTTTTAGATATTGCTCACTTTTACGTGTACCGCATAATGCGATGGCTTCTTTTGCAAACGGGTGACATTACTGAAGCGCCTGGGTCGTCGAAGGGCGGGTGGCCAAGTGGCCAGACGGGCAACCTTTCTGACCCGGCATACTGGTTTGCTTGGGTCGTTGGTCTGGTCGTCTTGTATCAGATGTGCCTGAAATACGGTAAGAATGAGGCTGATATTTGCGCATGTGCGCCCTCGACTCGATCGCTAAATGGCCGTTCGCTGATCTTCTCATGCTTATTACCGTTTAGGACGTTTCAAAGCCTCCAAGTCCCCTTCCTCCATTTGGCGGTTCTTTTAAGCATGGACTTACAGTAGCCTCGAATTAGAAATCAACAAGAAAAGACCTGTTTAATGAAAAGAAAGTCCGATAGCCTCAAACGGACAGAAATATATGCGTGATTGATTTTTATGCTTAAAGATGGTGAAGTATGGCTAGGGAGCTACAGACAGACAACTATCGCCACCTCTTGAACAAAGGATTCCGCTTTGACTCTCTCGCCGCGGCCTCTTCGCGCTTCTGCTTCCTCTCGCGCTTTGCGGCTTCTTCAGCTTTCTTCGCAGCAACTTTGCTTGTACCGAAGCGCGGCGCCGCGATCGCGCCAGCTTCCTGTGAGGGCAACTCCTCGCCGTCGATCGCGTCCATGTCGGTCTGCTTGAGCTGCTCGAGCAGGGTTTGCTGTTCGCTCCATGTGTAGAGGTGAAGTTTTGATCGCTGTTCTTTTGGTATGAGTTGTTCCAAATTTGGAATTATCTAAATGGAAATCAAATAAGTTAGCCCGTGGGTCGCCAGATACTTGGCCGCTGAGCGCACCGCTCCCCGGTACCTTGTATTCGTAACCCTGATCGATCAAGAACGTCTTTCTCTTGGCACTGAAAGCAACCTCCTCCGTGTCCGTTGTGATTAATGTGTAGAACCGACTTCTGAAACCTTCCTCATTCCTCCGCTTGGCACGAAGAATACGACCCATGCGCTGTGCCTCCTGACGACGACTTCCAAACATACTGCTGATCTGAATCAAGCATGTGGCTTCTGGCAAATCTAATGACGTGTCTCCGACTTTGGACAGAAACACCGTTTGGAACATGCCCGGTTCACTGGACCGGAACTTCTTGAGAACCTCGGTTCGCTCCTGGTTGGAAGTTTTGCCGTAGATGAACGGTTTTCGCATCTTTTTGGCGTAGTACTGGTAATGCAAATATGTCAGAACGCTTAGCGCTCGTCGATAAACTCACAGTGCTCCCTACCTCAAGCGCAAAGACATTGTCAGAGAAAACGATGATTTTATCCCCTTCGGCCTCGCGTGCTTTGATCAAGTACTCGCAAGCCTGGAACTTGTTAGGGTTCATGACCGTCAACAGTCGTCGTTTGCTGTGAGTCATAGCAGCGGTTAGATGCGACACACACAATGCCACTGTCAAATAGGGCAAAATTCTTCTTACCCGGCATGCTGACTGTCGCGATACTCTTGATAGAACTCGGTCGTCATCCCACACCAAATCTCCGTCGCTTCAACCTTGGCAATGTGGCCTCGGTGCGCCAGGTCCATCCAATTTGCTTCAAAGAGCTTAGGTCCAATCAAGAAATTCAAGTCCTCGATCTTATCATCCTCTCGCACCAAGGTTGCTGTGAGTCCAAGTTTCGTATGCGCCGACACTGTTGTGAGGACGCGTCGGAAAACAGCGGCGGGAACCACATGGACTTCATCGAGAATCATAAGACCCCATTCCACAGAGTTGATCCACTCAATCATGCGGGCCGTCGACGCCGACCGTTCGCCAGAGTGTGAAATCATAGTATATGTCGAGACGACAATTCCAGCGTCACCAACAAACTTCATCTTCTCATCAGATGTAAATTTCGCAATTTGGCCTTCTTTAAGCGTGCTCCAGTTCCGAAACTCTTTCGTCCACTGATCGACCGACAGCGCATTTGTGCACAGCACCAATGTACTCTTCTTCACGGTACAGGCCGCCGTGATGCCGACCAGGGTTTTTCCTGCACCTGTTGGCAGTACGATAATTCCAGATCTCGCACGTCCGCCTCCGCCGCCAAACATTTTGCTCAAACTCTTCTCCTGATAGTCGCGGATAGTGGTCTGCGGACTCAAATCCATGTCCAGATTCGGCGTCATGTCGTCGTGACGGAAATCATACTCTTCCATCAGCGGATAGTCCATGCCAATGCAGTGCTTTTTGACCTCCTCCACCTGGGATTTGTCGATTTCGAAGGAATGAACAAACTCAGACTCATCCTCATCGTCCTCGTCTTCATCGTCCAAGGTGTCCAACGTTATCACCGCTCCCAGGCCTTCGTCCTCGCTCTTCTTTGGTCCGGCGTCAATCCCTTTAGCACCCGGAAATCCAGGCTCCTTGCCCCTTCCATCCAACTTCCCAACCGCGGATTCATCGCGAATTACGCGCGCCTTCGAGATGTCCGCATTGGTAAGCAATCTTTTCAAAACGTCAGGATACGTTGATTCTATGTAATATCTAAACAAAGTGCAGATGTTAGAACATGGCAGATATTGTGAGCAGGATTCAAAAACAGGCACCATTATACCTGTTGTCTTTTAATACTAATTTGGCTTTGCCATAGGCAGATGTACACTCCCTGATAAATTTCTTGACGCGTTCCGGTAATGTAACTTTCGAAAAACGTTCAAGCACTCCCAAAATTGTGTCCGTTTCCATCCCGACAGACACGGCTGCGTACAGCGAATAAGCAGTAAGCTTGAATTCGTGAATCCGCGCAGGCCGGCTGACAGGTTCCGCGATGGTAATGAGAAAATCCTGAGCTTGCGGCGCCAAGGACGAGAATGCTTCGAGAATGATGCGTCCGTCATCGCAGACCCACAGCGGTCTCATCCGATGGTCCGGCTTTTGCGCCAAGAACGTGTAATCCTTCTCAAAAAGCCTCGAAGCCATGTCGGTTGTCACATTGTTGTACACCTCATCAGCGACCTCTTCCACTTTGAATTTGGCAAAGCGGGAAGGGTCGGCGACGTGCTCGCGGATGTGCGCATCTAGGTCAGTGTCGGTTGGCGCGACTTTTTGGCGCTTGGCGGCCGGCGCCTGCGCGGCGGCTGGCGGTGGTGCCTGCC